GGAGGTGGAGGCCGTCTGTGTGCACTGTCCACTTGGAGCACAGGAGTGCAGTCAGGATGCTCCATCACCTGGGGTCTTACTTTTCTTCTGTTGCCTTACTGCACAGCTGGTGCCACCTGGTGAGGGAGGGGCCATGTGTCTCAGCCTCCCGTCTTTCTGACCTGCCCTGGCTGCAAAAGTTGTGAAGACCTGGGGACCCCCCAGAAGCTGCAGATGTAACTGAGGATCTTGGGCCCGCATTCTCTCCTTTGTCTTCAAAGAAGTCCTGAGTCCCCTAAAATTTCTAAACATTTGGGAAGCAGGATGTCACATCCATGTTTTGTCACCTGACCCCAGGGACTCTGAAGGCTGCCATTGACCCCCATTTATCAGGTCTTCCCTATGATGCAGGACCGGACTTTATTTGGAAGAAATGTGTGATAGGGAAGTTCTGCAAGCTTGTCAGTCAGTAGGCAAAGGGGCCTGTTCATCTGGGAGAAGCAAATGCGAGTAGAAGATGATGAGAGACGGGCTGATGGTGGTGGCAGAATCAGCTCCCAGACAAGGCAAGGCAAGGTTTCCCCTGTGGTCAGCCTGTTCCTGGGGGGACAGTGAGGGGAGCGTTTGGTGCTGGCTGTGGCTTAGAGTGTGTCCAAGAGCTTGGCGTGCGGGAGGGTAGTTGGTTTTTTTTTTTTTTGTTCTGGTGATCAGTTTTGTTACCTTTTTTTTGTGCGGCTGGTGTTGGTTTGGGTGATGTGTTTCTTTTTTTCTTGAAGGGTCTTTTTCGTGTTTGTTTGTTTTTGTGTTTGTTTTTGTTTGTTTGTTTGTGTGTTGTTCGTAGTTTTTGGGTGTCTGTGTGTGTTTGTGTGTGCTTGTTTGTTTGTGCATGTGTGTTGCTGTTGTTTTGTGGATTTTCCACTTATTTTTTTTTCCCTTGTGTTTGTTTTTTGGAGGGTTTTTTTTGTTTCTTTTTTTTTTTTCTGTGTGTGTGTTTGTGCTTCCGGCTGGCGGTGGAGTTGTTGTGCAGTCCCGGGTACCGTGGTTCTGTTTGGGTTTGTTTTGCTGGGGTTACGGCATGTGTCGTGATGCCTTTCTTTTTTTGTTTTTTGTTGGATGGTTTGCTCTGATGTGTTGGCGCTTGCTTGGCTTGTTCGCCGCCGGTGTGTTGTATCCTTGGTTTTGTTTTGTTTTTTCTTAATTTTGAGAATTTGGTTTTGTTTTCTTTCATGTTTCCTGTTTTGTTTGTCCTTTTTGTTTTTTAACTCTTTTCTTCATTTAGGTCTGACTGGTTTTTTTTTTTCAATGGTTTTTTCTTCCTTTTCTTGTCTGTTGTTGCTTGGATTGATGCTTTGTTTTTATCTTGCCTGTGCTTCCTTTTTGGTTCTTTCGCCGTCTTGAGCTTTCCATCTGTTCTCCCTGTCTCTATTTTATTGTGTCGTGTGCTGTCGTTTTCTCTTGGTGTTTTCTTGGCTGCGTGGCTTGCTTCTTGTCTTGCGTTTGATTCTCGGTACCAAAAACAAAACAAAAAGACAGACAGAAATACATTAGTCCCCAAGCCTCTGGAAACATCTGGATGCCTGACTGAAATGGTTACTTCGGCTGGGGATTTAGCTCAGTGGCACGGCACCCACCTTGCAAGCACAAGGTCCTGGTACCAAAAACAAATTACCCTACAATTACTAAAAGCAAAGGAAAATGAAACAAAAATAACCTACAAAATACTGAGCCAACTGGCATGTAAGAAGTACAAGTCAATTCACCTATGGATCTAACATAATGTAAAATAAAGAAGACAGTTGTCATCTAAGTCAAGAGATGATATTAAAGTCCCATGCCATTGCTTACAAGAATGTACAGAATTATGTGAGCCCATTTATTTACTTATTTGGTACTGGAGATCAAAAGAGCACATTTATTTTTAAAAGTTAGCTTAAAATGAATCCAGAGATGTACTTTAAGGGTTCACAATATTTACTTAATATTTCCTCTGCTTGTGTATTTTCCAGAGAAATAACTGAGTTTTATACAACTTATCTTGGGGATGTAGCTCAGTGGCCCCACACCTGCCTGGCAATTGCAACTTACCTTTTACATTTAAACACATGAGAAGTGACCACAGGATTTGGAAAATATGAGTTATAACTGAGAACTTTGTACATTTACAGGGATTTCATACAATATTCATTCTTCCAGGCAGGACAACTGATGACTTGTGTATATGCCTCACAGTAATGCTTTCTCACAGTACTGTGTTTATTTTCAATGTGAATTAAACCAAAATGACTCCAGGTGTTCCCATATAATATGTTGCTGTGGATTTCTCCACTGTGCAATGCAGTGTCATGAAATATCATGTAAAACTGAAGATTTCTTATGTTCTATATTTATACTAGCACTCAGAAATGTGCATGTTTTCTGATGCTATGGGCATCCCACAATGCTTTGTCATAGTACTCAGGGTTTCTCTTTAGTGGGAATTCGTTCATATATTTCAAGAAAAGTGGAAGAACCAAAAATTTTCCAATATATGTTCCCTTTCATGTGAATTCTTTCATGTATTTGAGTTTATTGCAGAAAAAAACCCCACCTTTCCCACACTGCTCATGTATGTTCCAACTCTCTACACTCTGAATTCATGTATGTAACGATACCTGTGTGGACTGAGATTTATATGGCTTAGAAGATCTCAGTCTGACTTGTGTCAGCCCAAGTCACTATGTATTCAGTTATTTCACTCACCATTTTCTTTTTTTGGTACCAGGGATCGAACTCAGGTCCTTGCGCTTGTGCAGCAGGCGGTGAAACCACTGAGCTAAATCTCCGGCCTCACTCACCATTTTTAATCAACATGTTTACCACAGTAAGGCTTTTCCTTATTTTTTAGTCTTTTTCCCAAGAGTGATTTCTTTTATATACCTGATAACTCTATGCACTAAATGCATTCCCACATTGCTTACACATAGTGCTTCAACAGTGAGTTCTTTCCTGTCTTCACATTGCTTAGTTTCTCTCAGTGAGTCCTTTCATGTACTTGACAATCTGTGTGCTAAAAGCTTTCCCACATGGTTTCTCCCCAGTGTGGATCTACTCATGTGTTTTAAATTACTGTATGTGCTGAAAACTTTCCCACATGGCTTACATAGGGTTTTTCCAGAGTGGCTTTTTTCATGGATTTAAAATATTGGTGTTGAAAGCTTTCCCACAATGCATACACACACACAGGGTTTATGCCTTGTGTGAATTTTTATGTACTTGCCAAAAACATAGCATGGAGAAAGCGTTTCCACATTGCTTAGTTTCTCCTCAGTGAGTTTGTTGTTCATGTCTCTGACAACTTTTACACATGCCAAAAGCTTTCCCACATTGCTTACATACATTGGGCTTCTCCCCAGTGAGTCCTTTCATGCATTTGGCAACTATTCTGTGTGCTGAAAGCTTTCCCACATTGCTCATGCACATAGGGCTTCTCCCCAGTATGAGTCCGTACATGTATTTGACATGTCTTTGTTTCCATTACAAGGTTTCCCACATTGCTTACATGCTAGAGTTTCTCCCCAGTGTGAATTTTTTCATGTTTTTTATAATATTGGTGTTGAGTGAAGGCTTTCCCACAATGCTTACATACATAGGGTTTCTCCCCAGTGTGCATCCTTTCATGTACTTGGAAATAACTCAGTGTGGTGAAAGCTTTTCCACATTGCTTACATACATAGGGTTTCTCTCCAGTATGAGTTTGTTCATGTCTTTGACAATTTCTTTGTGTGCTGAAAGCTTCCCCACATTGCTTACATACATAGTTTCTCCCCAATGTGAGTCTGTTCATGTGTTTTCCAACTATCTTGCCTGCTGAAAGCTTTCTCACATTGCTTACACACATAAGGTTTCTCCCCAGTGTGAGTCCATACATGTGTTTGACATTCTGTGTGTGATAAAAGCTTTCTTACATTGTTTGCATGGATAGGGTTCTCCCTAATGTGAGTTCTTTGAAGATTACCAAAGGAATTGCTGTTAGTGAAGCATTTTCCAGTGTTTCCTTATATAGGTTTCTTCTCCAGTGTGAATTTCTTCATGTGTCTGAATATCATGGTGAGACTTAAAACCTGTTCCACATGGTATACATGTGTATGTATTCACTTCACTGTGACTTCTTCCTCCGATTTCAACATTGTTGGGTGTAATGAATGATTTCACATCTTGCTTATATACAAATAGCTTCTCTTCAATGGTTCTTTCTTCGGTGCAATCAGAGTAGTACTTTCCACATGACACATATTCATGGGGTTTCTCCCCAGAAATTGTCTTTGCACATTTCTGCAAGGACTTCAGTTTTGTGCAGGTTTTCTCATGTGTGTTACAGTTAGTTTCCCTTGCAATCCCCACTGCTCAGGTGACTTGAGTCCAGTGTTAGCCATGATGGGCCCATCTGCTGATGAATGACCAATCAGGGGCCTTCTAGAGGAAAAACTTTCACCTGGTTTTACACAAACAAGTTTCATGTGTGCATTAGTAGCTGGAGTCTGAACAAGCATTTCTCCACATTGATACCATAATTTATATTGATGGGATGTCACTCCATCTTCACTTCTGTAAAAGGGAAAAGAAACAGAACAACCAATCACATAAACATGTATCCTTTTAGTTATGATTTAGCAGAGGAGTTCTGCTTTGATGTCCCCTAGGAATTTCATCATGAACTTACTGTACACTCTGGATGATGGCTTGGAAACAGCTTTTACCACAACAGTAGGATTCATTTGGGAGTTTGTAATCCACACATTGGTAATACAGAATACTTACTTTCATTCTGAGGAACTGGAATACATCTTGGTGAAATATGTTCCATATATTGATGCCCTTTGATACCTTAACCTCCATGACTTCATCTGGTCCCCCTTCTGCTGAACATCATCACCCATCCAAAATGTCTGTCGTCTACCATCCCTCCTTTGTTTGACTCCTTAATTCATGTTTTGGGAATCTCATGTAAAATATCACTTCTGCTACTGGAATTTCTGTGTCTCACTTACGTAATCTAACATTATGAGCGCTAGATCCATCAGTATTTTGGCAAATGACATCACTATTGTTATGGATACTATTCCATTATGTGTACACACCATGTAGTTTTCAGTGCTTGAAATTCAACCCAGGGTTTTAGCACTGAGATACATCCACAGGCTTTTAAATTTTTATTCTGAAACAGAGTCTCATCATTCATTAAGTTGCCAAGGCTGAGCATGAATGTGAGATCTTTCTGCCTCAGCTTCCCAGAGTGCTGAGATTCCAAGCCTGCTCCTTTATGCCCTGGCTATACCATGTTTCCTTAATCAACTCATCTGTGAATGGGCACTTAGCCTTCTTCCAGAGCTCAGCTTTTCTAAGTTGTGCTGCTACAAATGGGCATTTATGCATCACTGTAATACGATTACTTTAACTTTGTGGGGAACATATACAGTATAAGTATAGCTGGATAAATGAGATTTCTATCTTTCCTTTTTTGTGGAATCTCTATGTACATTTCCACAGATGTTATACCACATTGCATCACCAATAATATGCCTTCTAATATTTCGGAACATGAACGGTGTTGTGGTTTGGGTCTAGATGTCCCCCCCAAAGCCTCATGTGGTCATAGGCTTGACCTAGAGTGTGTGAAGCTGGAATTGATTCACGGTGCAATGCCAGGCTCAAGGGCACTAGGGTTAAGGGCATGAGTGCTGCCCACCCTAAGTAGTCTGAATGAGATAAAAGGGGGAGATGCTGTTAACTCTCTCGTTACCTTTGCTGCCTTGTGTGTGCCATGGTGTTTCTGCTCTGCCATGCCTATCTGTTGTCCCTGCCTTGGAGCTGGCTGATTATGGACTGAAACCTCTATGGAGTATAAGCCAAATAAACTCCTTCCCCTTTAACTTTGGGTGTCTGGTATTTTGTTTCAGCAACAAGAGAAAAGTAACTAACATAAATGGACTATGTGCTTTGGAGGACTGCTTGAAAATTACTATGATCTAAACAGTGGCATTCATTTGGATTTTGAACATATCCACAACATTAGCAATTTTTCAAATAGTGTGTATATCACATTTAACTACATATAGTATCACATATAATTTGTATAATATGAAAGTGGTTTTTAAAAACACATGTATATACAATTAAACTTAGTTCTCAGTGTATACACAAAATTTGTTTTATATACTCGTGTCCTCAATGTGTAAGTGCAATTTCATTCAACATATCCATAATTATTTTGTACCAGGGATCGAACTCAGGACCTTGTGCTTGCAAGGCACGCATGGTGCCAGAGCTAAATCCCTGGCCCAACATATTCATAATTTTGAGGATTGGACATAATTTGTTTGTTCTTTTTGTTTTCGGAGACAGGGTCTCACTCTGCAGTTGAGGCTGGCCTTAAAATCACTATATGGCCAGGACTGGCTGCTAACTTGCACCAATTTTTCTGCCTAAGCCTCCCAAGTGCTGGATTATAGGTGGGCACCACCATGCCCAGTTGTTTGTTCTTTTACATTACATCAAAGGTGTCACTTTGGGCATAATATCAGTAACACCTACATTTCAGAAACTGGAATATTTCAAATATTATTGTCAGATTAGAGATATTTAGTGTAGATAAGTCCTTGGAGAAATTTTGTGAGATTAAAGAAATTTGAACATGGCTTTGTTTTTACAGTTTGCTTGGATTTAATATTTCTGACACTGGAAGAACATTCTTCTCATGAGCATAAATTACCTTAGATTTTTTTCTGCAAGTTTCATACTCATCTCCAATTTGCTGATCACCTGAGTTTCCTCCTAAAGTGTAGAAATAGAAATATGAAAATCAGTAGATTGCAATTAGAGTCATGGTAAAATGTGACCATGCCTGGAAGATGCATCACAATGTTTCCATCTTCCAATTAAGGAAACTTCACTGGTGAGCACCAACCAAGGCTCTCTGACTGTAGACATGAGGAAATGGTATCTCCTTACCGATGGCAGCCAGGTTCCTAAGGGTTTCCCACATCACATCTCTGCAGAGCTTCGTTGGGATGGATCCAGCAAAGCCCACTCCACCATCCTGGTGAAGTTCACAGCCACATCCTCAAAGGTCACTGCCTCCTACAGCATCAGACGTGTTTTCAGGAAGAAGCGTGAGATTCACAACATGAACCGTCTCATCTCATACAAAGCTGATATGAGGCTGAGTTTTCCACATGTTTACTTCATGTCTCGGTCATCAAACACTTATCCTCCATCCACATGCACGCCTCACACAGGAATTTTGCTGTTACACTGGAATTCACTGTTAAAGCAACAGTGCAATGGGAACACTGCTTCTCCTGCTGGTTAAACCCAGATTTATTTGTACACTGTCACTACAACATGGTTCACGGAAGAGGAATACAAAATCAGTATCCAAGTGAAAAAAGTAAGGTATGTAAGTATGTGAAGAATTACTCTGACAGATTATAGAAACTACCTTTTTGCACAACTTATTATTAAGAAAACGATCCCTTGGTTCTCTGATTCTGTTTAGACAGCATTTTGACAGTTCAACATGGTTTCATAGACAAAGCCTTAGTTGAACACTAAGCAAAATTTATGAATGATAATTTGAAACTGTAATAAAAAATTAAGTTTTTATTGGAGAATGTCTAAGAAGAGTGAACATGGATCAAGGAAGCCTTATTATCTTGTGGGTCACTCACTTGAAAAGTGGCTTAAGAGAGACAAATGGGGCCATGGATAGGATGAAAGTAGCTATTAAATGTATTGATTACCAATATTTTGCAAACTTAACAGACAGCAATAATGAAAGGAAGAATTGAAGAAAAAATAATTTCACTTCCAAATACACCTTCTAATGAGACAGCTTCTTTAAAGCACAGAAAGAGTTTCAAAACCTGCTACTTAAGGAGCTGTTCTACTAGTAGAGAGAATGACAAGCAGACTACAGAAAAGGAAGAGTTTTCAGTGGGCTCACATGTGAATAGAATATGTCTTAATTTTTTCTCATTTCTGAGACAAAATACCCAACACCTCAAATTAAAGAAGGAAAGGTTTACTTTGACTCCCAGTTTTAGAGGTTTCAGTGTGTAATAGATTGGCTCAAAGGCAGGTGACATGGCAGAAGGGCATTGCAGAGGAGAAACAGTCCATGGCAGGCAGAAGGCAGCAAAATCAGCAAACAGTAAGCAACAAGTGACAACAGCAACTCTCTCTCTCTGCCCCTTATATTTTCTCCACTCTATCCAGGTAGCACTCACACCCTTAATCCTAGCATCACACCATGCATCAATCCCAGTGTCACACATTCTACATCCAGTGGCCTCTGAAAAGCCCCACCTATGACTGCATGAGGCTTTGCAAGGACATCTAGATACAAGATATCACAGAACACTGATGCTTATAGAGCTCTTATGGCACAAATGACAATCGGTGTAATACAGGAGGCAGGGAGAAGCAGATGTTTTAGTCTTCATATGCTTTCTGTAATAATTAAATTACATCTTGAAATGGGAAAGATAAGCTTGAATACTTTTTGAAGTAAAAGAAAAGTGTTTGCCCAGAAGAAAATCATGAAGCTATCAGAATTACAGGGAGACATTGAAACCTATGTAAATCATGGAAGGTAAAAGACACAAGAAATGAAAAAGAAATTTGCATTGTATACAATAAAAAGAATTTGTGTACCAACTAAAAAAATAATGCTTTTCTGTGCAATTTTACAGGCCTCACTTATGGGTATTTCAAGGTGGTTAAACTAAAAGAATACTGCATATTGGCAGCTATACATGGTAAAATGATAAGAAACAGTACACCAAATAGGGGAGCGGTTGTCCATGGGGAAGATGAGGATGAGTCTAATAGAGTCTCACCTCGATTCTCTTAACCCTGCCCAAGGCCCAGTTGTAAACTTTCTGAGGGTTCTTAGGAAATGTATATTATTATTGTTAAATCTCACCAAAAGACTTTCAGAATAAAATTGCAAAATCCTAGGACATTCATATTGTTATTATTGTCAAATCTCATTAAAATTCTTTTTGAGAATAAAATTAATTGCAAAATATTTAAATACTAAATTGCTATGTTCCCAGACCTCAACTGACCCGTGTAGTCATTTCTCTCTTTCAAAATGTTTAAGTCCCATATGTTTGGAATGTCTGGAGGCTGAAATACATTACTCCATATAAATTATCCATTTGCAGCAGTGCTCAAGGACAGGCGAGGACATTTTAAGTGCACACGAGGGACACACTTCTTGTGGCTATTCTCAATGCCTGTCACAGGACAGGTCTAAGGAGAATGCACATTGCATACGCTATTAGGCCATATTCTGTGGATTATGACCTAAGAGCATCTGAGTCTCTTTAAATCTGTGAAAGAAGGAATGAGAAAATAAAAGAAAGAAGAAGGAACAGAGCAAAGAACAGAGAAAGGTGGAGAAGAAGGGTAAGAAGGAATAAGGACAGAAGCATGGAAGACACTTCTAGCCAAAACAATGCTGAGGTAGGAGTTTTATGCATCAGGTCTTTTGCATGTTGCTCTGATCCTTGTCCCTGAGACTGAATATGAGGGTATTGTGACTAGAGTGTGCACATCTTTTCAAGGAGCAGCTGTTATTTTCAAAATTGGGATAAAAGTCAATGTCAAAGGAAGAGCCATAGCACTTTTATAAGTACAGTAAACTGCACTTGAGGGGAAGGATATCTGCTGTCCCTCAGCAGAGTGGATCCTTAAGATGACAGCCACAATAGAAACAGGAGAACACAATGACAACTAAGTAGTCAATAAGATCTCACACACAGTGAATACAATTTCTTCTCACTACAATTTAATATTACTTGCAAAATGTGGCAAAGACAAGGTACAAAACTACCATTGTCATTAAAACACTATAATTAAACAAATTTGGGAGAGTTTTTTCTTGGCACTGAGACAATACTTAATACCCACAATTTAAAGAAGAAGAAATCGATTTGGGTTCACAGGTTGTAAGGGTTTGAGTGCATAGCTGTCTGGCTGCAGGGCAGGGTGGCTTGGCAGAGAGGCTCGGCAGACAGGGAGCTTACTTGTGCCATGGCACTTGGAATCTGTGCTTCTTCAGATCAGCCCACTAGGTTCCAAGAATATGAAAGTCCTATGGATAAATCATGAAAACATTTATAAATCCTTCAGGCAATCTCTGTCTCTCTCTCTCTCTCCCAAAAACATGCATCAAAACAAGCAACAGGGAAGAAATTCACAAGGGAACACACACTCAGAATGTTAAACATATTTCTGAGCTTGCACATTGCTCTCATTGTGCCCCACACACCCAAGTGCTAAAAAACATACGCAATATCAGGAAAGCTGAATTTGGAACTTCCATGCATCCTCCTTAGCCATCCTCCCAGATCAAAATTTCCTCCTTTACATGCTTATACAACTTCTCTATTCACTGAAGGTTGATCTGTGCCTTTTCCAAATTTCACTTCAAAATTCAAATGTGTGTTTCTTACAGGTGGGCTCAAAGTTCAGTTCTCACAACACCCACAGCTGCCACAATTCTGTCCAATTCAGAGCCCAGTTCTAATACACAGCTACAAAATCAGATTCCAAAACTAAATGTTTTGAACTGGTGTATTATAAAAAAAAATAGATATTTACTCTGTTTGGGAAATTATAGTAGTTTTAGGGTTTTTATTCCAGATTGTGGAAAGAATTATCTCTCTTTTTTTAAAAAAAAAACTAGCCTGAAATTTACAAAAAGCTCTGTCAAGGGGGAAGAATCCAAAGGTGGATTTTGCACTGGTTACTGGACATTCATTCTCTAGAGATGCAAATGACAATATTTTGGACATAAGGAAATGACTGATGTTTAATTTGGCCCTACATCTGACCCTCTAAATAGAAGTAATTGTAAACCCCTCACCATAGCTGGGCTTTTTAGCCACACCTGTATTCACACCACTCTCATACCTTGAAGCGGCAGCACCAAACTACACCCCAGCTTATACATCACAGAGACTCATTATCAAAATTAAAGAATAATGGTAAAAAATAAAGAATGTATGTAGCTCAGAGCAAATGCCCTGAATTCAATCTGAAATTCCCTTCATATGACACTTGGATAATGCTGCACACTTAAATTTTTATCCCACAAGGCCAGACACAATTTTCTACATTCTGATTTTGCCTCATAAGACATTTGGTGAAGGGACACTTGAAACAGAAGTCTTATTAGTCTCACTTTAACAAATTTCACAGTGCTTTTCTGGCCCTTTAGCTCTGAATCACAGTCAAAACAAAGCAGCACCAGAGGACAGAATGGTAAATTATGAAGAAGTCCTCAAGGAAAATGCCCCCAAAATTAAAGAATAAGAAAATACAACCCAGGAGCTACTGAGCAAGACTAAAAAGACCAAACAAAGCTAACTGGAGGTAGAGAACAGCTAGAAGACAGCACAAATGGAATTATCAGTAAATTTACAGAAATTGTCCTACAAAATATCTCAAATATGAGAAAAGAATTCAAAATACAAGCAAGCAAGGTTTCTAGAAACCAAACAACTATGATGAAAACAAAAGCTCAGTGAGATACGTCCTTTCCAAATGGCCAAATATCCAACAAAAAGATTTCTCAAAGCAAGCACAGAAAAACAATAAATCACATGTAAAGAGAAACCCTTCAGAATTACAGCAGACTTCTCAGTACAAAATGCTATGGCCAGAAGAGCTTGGAGAGAACTATTTCAAGCCCAAAGAGCAAGTAGCTTCCAACCCAGTTTACCAGGCCCACCAATGTGTTGCTTCAAAGTACAGGGAGAAATAAGGACATTTTACGAAAAAGGGGAAAAAAACAGCTCAAAAGGTACAGGATGATGGAACCAGCATTCCAGAATATACTCAAGAATATCTTACCCATAAATGGCAAGACCAAAAAAACTAAAAATTTCAGTGAAAGAAAAACACCAAGTTCAATAGACAAACAATAACAACAACAATGACAACAGGAAAATGAAACAAAGGAGTTACCAACCATAAAAGAGTAAAATGATAGTAAATAATGAGCATCTCAGTGATACCTGTCTATGTTAATGGCCTCAACTCTCCAGTTAAAGACACAGATTGGCTGACTAGATAAAAAAACAGAATTTAATAGTCTTTTACATGAAAGCATTTCATCTAATCCAAAGAGATATACATAAACTCAATGTCAAAAGACAGAAAACAGTATTTCATGAATCAATATCAGAGACTCCTGAGGCAGTTTCTGATCTTCTGCTGGGTGTCATGACGCAAAGGTAAAAGAAAAACTCAAGGGCCGGGGATTTAGCTCAGTGGTTCCACTGCCTGACTTATAAGCGCAAGGTTGCAAGTTTGATCCCTAGTACCAAAAAAGAGGAAAAAGAAAAGAAAAACTCAAAGACAGAATTAAAGAGACAGAGAAATGAGGAGCCAGGATTACCAATGCTTGTGCAAGCAAGGAGGAACAAGCAAAGGCCCTGAACACCGGAGCTGTTGATATTTACTGGTGACATCACAGATAAGGGTAAAGTGGCTCTGTGGTCAGACTATGTGGAGTTGCTATGGAGACATTGTGGCTGCAGGCAAGGCTTGTAAAGGAAGAGACAAAGCAGTCTTGAATTAGGAGCAGAACAGACAAAATGTAGGCTGTGGTTAATAAGTAACCTTGTCTTTTTAGTAAAGAAAGTTCTAACTCTGGGAACAGAATTCAATGGGGATCACTCTGACCTCAGCACTTAGGCTTCCGCCAGACTCACTTCTATGAAGAAGCCAATTACAGGGTCAACTCTGTGCAGTTTGCATAGTTCACAGCCTGCTTTGGGCATAATCAATGGGGTGGACCCCACACATCAAGATCCCAAAAATGTAGCAGTAACAATTTTAATCTCAGACCTGGTAAACTTCAAGTTAAAACTGATTAGAACACACAAAGAAGATTCTGCATAATAGGGGAACAATCTAACAAGAAGAGATGATGTTTTAGGTGCCAAATACTAGAGTACCTCTACTCATAAAAGAAATGCTGCTGAACAAAAAAGATCAAATAAATATTAACACAATCTAGTGGGAAATCTTAGCACCCTACTTTTACAAAAAGGTAGATCAACTAAAGAAAAATATCAAGAAGAACATATTACAGCTGAACCATGACTTTGAACAGATGGATTTAGTAGATGTGCACAGAACAGTCCACCCCACTCCAAGAGAGTATGCATTCTTTTCTGCAGGATAGGGTACTTTCTGCAAGTAGATCACCTGATAGTCCACTAAAGCTTGATTAAAGAAATATTTTTAAAAATAAAAATCAGCCTATGTCTACTAACAGAACACTGTGCAATGAAAATATAAATCAATCACAGAAAAATCACAAAAGATGTAAAAGAACCTGGAAAGTTATGACACACTACTAAACAACCAATGGATCACAGAGGAAATCAAAGAAGAAATTTAAAAGTTTCTGGGCCCGGGGATTTAGCTCAGTGGTTCTGCCACCTGCTTTGCAAGTGCAAGGTCCCAAGTTTGATCCTGGTACCAAAAAAAAAAAAAAAATTTCTGGAAGTTAATGACAATGTTTGCAATGTGTACCAGAATCTCTAGGACACTATGTAAGCAGAACTAAGAGGGAGGGTATTTTTTTGTTTTGGTTTGGGTTTTGGTATGGGGATTGAACCCGGGACCTTGAGTTTGCATGGCAGGCCCCAGAACCACTGAGCTAAATCCCCAGCCCAGAGGGAGGTTTTTTTGCAAGCAATGCTCACATTTGGAAAACAGAGCAACTCAAATAAATAACTGTATGAAGAATCTTAAGATACTTGAGAAACAAGAATAATTCAGGGCCAAACTGAAATTAACAAGAAAAATTATGAAGATTAGAGTGAAAATCAATGAAACAGATTAAAAATATATATATAAAGAATCCATGAATTGAAGAGCCAATTCTTTGAAAGCCTAAACCAAATAGCTAAGACTTTATGGAAACTTAAGCAGAGAAAGAGAAAATATTTGCAATAAGAAATGCAAAAGGCAGGGCTCGGATTTAGCTCAGGGGTTTCACCACCTGCCTTGCAAACACAAGGTCCTGAGTTTGATCCTGGTATCAAAAAAACAAAAAAAAAAAAGAAAAAAAGAATGCAAAAGGCAAAATTATGACAGCATCAAAATCCAAAAGACAATAACAAATGTGAAAAATTATATTCCAATAAATTGAAAAATTTTGAAGAAATAGATTTCTAGACTCATAAAAGTTACCAAAATTAACCCAAGAAGATACAAATATGCTGAAAACCCCACTAACAAGCAATGGAATTAAGACAGTTATAAAAGATCTACCAAATTAAAAAAGACCAGGACCTGATGGATGCACTCCAGAAAGCTTGCACAAGGTTCTGATTTCAATCCCTGGTCCCCAAAAAAAGTATAAAAAGGAAGTTAAGGATGTGATACCACCTGTACTCAAGCTCTTCAAAGCAAGTGGAAGCTGTGGAGTGTCTTCAAATTCATTTAGAGAAGTCAGCATCTTTCTGCTTTCAAAACCAGTTAAAGATCGACAAACTATAGGCCAATGTTCTTATTGAAAATAGACGCAAAATTCCTTAACAAGGGCCAGGGATTTAGCTCAGTGATTTTGCTGCCTGCTGCACAAGCACAAGGACCCAAGTTTGATCCCCAGTACCAAAAAAAAAAAAAAAAATCCTTAACAAGGTATTTGTGAATAGAAGGCAACACATAAACATAAAGATCATAAATTATGACCAAGCAAATTTTATACCAGAGATTCAAGAATGGTTTAATATATCCAAATCAATATATGTAATTCATTACATACACAGATGCAAGGTCAAAATCATATGACTATATTAATAGATCCAGAAGATCTTTCAATAAAATCTAACACCCCTTTAGGATGAGAACTCTGAAGAAAGTAGGCAAAAGAGAACCATACCTGAATTTGATAAAACCTGTGTATGATAAATGCCAAATATCACATTAAATGGGAAAAGACAGAAAGCATTCACTCGAAAATCAGCAACAAGACAAGGATGCCCACTATTATTTCTTTTATTCAATAAAGCATTCAAAACTTTAGCTAAAGGAATCAGGCAAGAGACAGAAATAAAAGCACTGCATATA